TGCCGGCGTCGCGGCGCCTGCCTCGTTCGTCTTGGGGCCGGATCCAGTGGACTCCCCACGCTGAAGGCCTCGCTGTGTTTCGGGTGTAAACATTACCGGGTTAAAAATAAACATGCATCTCAGGGTGGGAAATTGGGTCTCCATCCTTGCAACTCCTCTTCCCTTTTCTGCAGACTTGTAGTCCTCGACATCTCGGATCTTTGCTTTTCATATTTTTTTTGCCTTTCTGGCTTTGCTAGACAGTTAATTGAGGCCTGAGAGATTTGCAGGAATTTGTGGCTGTCTTTTGAAAAGCCAGTCTTGAACGTGTAGGCCCTAGAAAACTGAGACACTCAACATTGTCAAAGGTAAATTTATATCTTTGTGGGTAAAGGACGGGAGCATTAATAGGCTCGGCTTCCCTGCCCCTTGTTGCCTGCCCTCTGACATTACATAATGATGGGTTCCTCCTGCCCCAGTTGACAGCTCATGAACATATTCCTCTGGGTAAGAAGGAAGTATAGGCGGTTGTAAAGCTCATCATCTTGTCTTTTGCTTTGCCTCTGAATGTGTTTTGTGTTTGGGAGGCTGAGGAGGGATAGAATGTGATTTGTCACCTGCCCATTAGGACGTCTAAAACAAGGGAATGGGGGGCGGTGTGGCAGTTAGGATGTTGCAGTAAAATTATGCTTGGTTCATCCCCTGTTCAAGTGGATTGTGTGGACTGCGGGGACACAAGTGGTGGATGGGGACAGAGCAGGTGATCTGAGTGTGAATTCTGGTTCTGCTACTAGCTAACTCTGTATCTTGGTGTTCTGGTTTCTAAAAGGTGAAAACAGAATCTCTTACTGAGTTTGTTTTTAAACCTTGATTCTTTTGGTATTGGTCAATGCACATAGATTAGTTGTTGGTTGTCCTAGATTTACAGGGAGTTTGTCTTTGGATGTAGGTTAGGGCCTTTGGTTTTTTTTTTTTTCCCTGAAATATTTACTCCTAGAAGATTCAATTCATTGATTTCTTTAAGGAAAGTGAAAAATAGTGCCCACATGGGGAGGTCAGTATGGCGATTCTGTGGGAGTATTGGTGTCGGAGGAGACCATGAATGATGCTGTTCTCAGGGTGGTGTTGCATGTGAACAGAGCCTCCCAAGGCCTTGTTCCCTGTAGTGTCTTGTAAGTATGTTTTGTAGCAACGAGCCAAAGTTATTGGGAGGGTCTGACTCAAAGACAGAGCTTAGAGGAATGGATGCTGGACAGATTCAAAGAGAAAGGAGGGCAGTGTTTCTGCTGAGCTCTGCAATATGTTGTACTTACCTTCCTACTTTACCTTTCTAGCTCCTTTTCATTTGGTATCTTCCATCTCAGGGTATGTATTTGCTCAGGTTAAACTCTGTCCCCATGTAGTCTCAGTGTGCAGTGCCGATGTCTTAGATTATAGTTAACACTATTGTTTTGGAAACTGGCTATTTTGTAGTATTGCTGGTAAATAAATATTGGAGTTTTTAAAAAAGAAAGTCACTTTAAGGAAATGGTGAAATAAATTATACCCATGAGAGCTTTTTGTAAGCAATAGGACGCCAGAGAATTGGGATGTATATGATAGAGAACTATGGACCCCACGAGTCCTTTAAGCCAGCTGCCTACCTGGGAGCCTTCTTAGAGTAGACTTCTACCAGCTAACCCCCATTCCTACCCCTTGCCTTAGCATCTCAAGAATTCTACCAAGTATGTTTTATCCTGTTTGCTTTTTAATGAAAAACTCCTTTTTAGCTTACATATTCCAGAAAAGTCCCCATCTTCAACTACTCATAGTATCAGGAAGCTTTGACTTTCAGAGGAAAAAAAAATAGCACAGATCTGTGGTGAAGAAGGCTTGATTATGTTGGTGCTTCTTTTGTAGAATATGATTAATGAGCTGGTCTTGAAAGATCTTTAAAAACAGCTTTTTTTTTTTCATTGTGCAGAGCATATTTTGGAGAGATAAGTATTAACCCCTATGCAAGCTTACTTCATTATTTGCTGATTTTTTTGTGCTTTTAAGGAAGATGTCACCATGAACCTAATCCCCAGGAAATCCCCTATATTTCTATGCATATACACACCTTGCTCTCTTAAATTATTTTTTGAATTTTGATGATTGCACACTCAGAAAAGTTGCAAGAATAATGAGAATTCTTAGGTACCCTTCATCCAGATTCTCTAATGTTGGCATTTTGCTGTGTCTTTTGTCTTTCTCTCATATTCATGGATTTCTTTTTGAAAATTTTTTATAACTTTATTTTACTTATTTATTTTTTATGTGGTGCTGAGGATCAAGCCCAGTGCCTCACCTTGCTAGCAAGCACTCTACCACTGAACTACAGCCCTAGCCCCCATGGATGACTTTTTTACAAACTGTTTAATAGTAAGTTGCAGACCTAATACCCTTTTACCTCTAAATACTTTACTGTGTATTTCCTGAAAACAAGGACATTCTCTTACATAACGGCAGTGAAATTATTAAAAATCACATTGATAGAATACGATTATTTAATATACAGGTCTTATTGAGATCTTACCAGTTGCCCCCCAAAATGTCCTTTATAGCAAAAGAAAATCCTAGCTCATTTATTGCATTAAATTATTTTGTCTCTATCACTCATTTAGTCTGAAGAAGTTCCTGAGTCTGTATTTCATATCGTTGACATATTTGGAGACTACTGTTTTCTAGATAATGCTGCTCAATTTGGATTTCCTGTGGTTTTCTCATGATTAGATTCAGGTTATGCAGTTCTGGCAGGAACAGCGCAGGCTTGATGCTGCTGTCTTGTTAGCGTGTCCGGTTAGGATAATGCTGTCCATGATCTCATTCACTGGCCTTGTTAACTCTGATCATTTGACTCAGATGGTGTCTGCCTCATTGAAAACTTTTCATTTTCCTGTTGTAATCAATATGTATCTCATAGGGAGAGAATTTGAGATTATGTTAGAATACTATTACTCATATTTTTACCCACTAGTTTTAGAACCCATTGATGCTTCTTGTTTGAATCAGTTTTTACGATTGTTGACAGATGGTGATTTTCTAATTCCATATTTTCTTCTACATTTATTAGTTGGAATTGTACTGAATAGAACTTTTCTATCTTATTTAGTTCTTGATTTGCATCCCTGGATTTAAGAATTCTTGCTTTATTCAGTGGATTATAGACTGTTACTCCCATTACTCATTTGTTGCTCTAATTGTCTCAGATTTGGCCAGGGGGAGACCTTTCAGCTGGATTGTATGTCCTTTTGAAATGTCCCTATGGTTCTTTGAGGTTTTCTTTTCTTTCTGGCACAAAATCAAGACTTTAGCTTATGTTTTCCTTGCCCTAGCCATTTCTCCTAAGAGCCTTAGTTCCTTTTAATAGAGTGGTGTAAAAACCCAGGTGTATCAGGCATTAGGTGTGCTCATTGCTGCTGAAGTGCCCTTGCTTCTGGATCCTGTCAGTAGACAAACATTTTAATTGTAAACAAGTGTAGTCACATTACACAAAATTTTCTGTGATTTGCTTTTCAAATTTAATGCTCTGTTCCTAATATCTGTGTATACTGACATGAGAAGTTTGTCCTCCTTTGTGTTGTGGGGAGTAGAGATACATTCTAGAGTATAGTGTGTGCAGTTTATTTAATCATCTCTTATTACTGAACATTTAAGATTGCTTCCAAATTTCTGCTATAAAATCAGTGAGGAATCCTTGAAACATATCAGTGTTAATGCTCAAAAATATTTCAGTCTTCTAGATCCCTAGAAGTTTAATTTCTGGGACAGAGTGTAATTTTAAATTGATATTTTTGTCAAATTGCCCCCCCCCACCCGCCGACTTTATCAGATTGTACTTATTCCATTAGTGAGTGAAACTGTTTCCCTTTGACTGGGCTAGATATATTTGCCAGTTAATTTTGTTAACTGTTAATTTTGCCAGTCTAATGGGCAAAGAAGACATTATTGTTTTAATTTTATTTCCCAAATTGCCAAAAATATTGAAGGCCTTTTCATGCTAATTTATAGTTCAGCTTCTGTGAATTACCTGTTCACATCCTTTGCCTATTTTTTTTTTCTCACTAGATTGTTCTTACTGGATTGTGGAAGTTACTGTAATTTTGGACTTTATTCTTGGCAACCTTAAAAGGCTCCTTTAAGCGTGATACATTTTTTAACCTAAAGGAGAAGAGACTATTGTTTTCTGAGTAGCCCCTGAATGCATGGCTCAGGTTAGGTCCTCCCAGGGCCTGTCAAGAGGCAAGCTGTGGGTCATAAAGTAAGCCCAGGTGAGGGGTGGCTGGGGCACCTACCTGAGGTTAGTTGAAAGAGGCTGGTCTGGGATTCAAGTGCTCAGTGTCTGGAGCTAGTGCCATTTTCATT